ATATTACAAAAATAAATAATAAATTCATTGCATTATATATAATAACAATAAAACATGCCTAATAAATGTAGTAATACATGCTTAGTTAAGTCAATAAAATTATATTTTACATTTCACACACACACACATATATATAACAAAAAAAAAAAAAAAAACATGCATGATATACATAAAAATTCATGCAAAATAATTTACCTACCTAATAAAGCAAACCCAAATATATGCAAAATAATATACCTACATAAAAAAATGTTATTATTTTATTCGATACTAGTTTACCTATTATTTGTACATATAATAATAAAACCCATTATATATGATGATACATACAAAATAAAATACCTACAAAATGAAGAAATGTTATTTGATTCAAAATTAATTTACTTGCAAAATAAAGCAATTGTATTTTATTCAAGATTAATTTACCTATTATTTGTACATATATCTTATAACAATAAAATGTGCCAAATATATGTAATAATACATGGAAAATAAATTACCGACAAAATATATTGTCACGCCCCAATCCCGACATACGTCCAGAATTGACACGTGACGTCACCAAAAATCCGTATCTATCATATCTCACCGTCCGAGATATGGGCAAGCACAACTCATTAATCGAATCACATAGTTATTTTTCGTATGCTTTATGGCTGCATCTAACTTCCCCAGTTAGACTGCCTACGTATCCTAAACAGGGATCAAGCCATTCGTAGTTCGTCATGCACAATAATTGACATATAACACAGTCCGATTAAGTTGAAAGGTATAACATTTCTCAATCAATCAATAGAACTTGACAATCATGAAAATACTAGACTCAGGGTTACATAACAACCCATCTGAAAATCATAATTTCCCCTCCATCAATATATAGGCCATTATGTCACAACATGATACCGCAATTCACAACATATATCATTTCAAAGAACCAACGATGTACAATACCATTCTTGAGCCACATTTATCAACAAGTCTAATCATAACAATAACAATGATATCCAACATAACAATCCCACATGACGATTAACATTTCCACTTCATCCATCACATAAATCATCACGTTTCCCACATAAATTCGTGTTTCATAGCGTGTTGCATATTTAAGAATTAACAAAGAACATACTATTCTCTAGAAATATTAATCAACTAAAATACTCATGATAACTCCACTCCTATCCAACGTCATTACATAATCACATCAATCAATAACACATACAACAAGTCGAAACGCAAGGCTAGAGCAACACAATTCAGTTGAAGACTACATCTTTGGAAAAGGGGATTTTGGACCACCCAACGGACCAAGGCTCCAAAGGGGATTTCGGACCATCACTTAACGGAATCCAAACAGAACTCAATTCCAATCCACCCAACCGAATTGAACGAAAGTCCAAGAAACATAACAACGGCTCGAAGGAACAAGACATGATTCAAGTTACTCAATTCCCAAAAACTCAACGAAACGAAACAATATCGAGCAACAAATCCACATCACAATGGGTTATCGGTCAATTACTAGACCTCACATCTCCTAAGCAATTCAATATGCGTTTCAAACACATGTCACAACCATTTCCAATACATAAGTCAAATCACATTTCACTTCATCATACTAATCACTATACTTCCAACATTATATTTCAATACATAGCTTGTAACATATCAAGGAATCACGAAGTACAATATTAACATTTAATTACGTTAATCAATCAGTGAGATAACATATCATTTCACGAATTTAATTAAAGAACTCTACATAATTCCCAATTTGGGTTAAGAATAATAACATGGTAATTCTAATTTATTTTCACAATATCTATTGTGGGTAATTCCCATCTACTCGAATTTAGGATTCTAAATCACCTTACGGAATGAACAAGAGCAAGGATTCCGGACCACTCAACGGAATCCAACAACATTGGGTTCCGAACCACTCAACGGAACCAAAATATCAAGCGGTTTCTCATAATCTACCCAGATCTGTCATATGTAAAGTCAATGCCAATATTATGGAATTGGTGCTGAGAGGCTCAGTTGAGGGACAATAAAATAAGCATGTAATACAATAATAAAACTAGCCATCAATCATAATTTATAAACCTTGAATATAAATCTTTCATAAGAACTCAATACCTTACTTTTGAAAACTCCGAGGGAGTCACCCAGACATCCAAAAGTTCATTCCAAACAACCATAACATCTCACACCCATATTCACATACACACAATGAAAATAGAATTTGGGCGACACTGTTCATCCAAAGCCTACACCTTTGCAACCATCTCAAACTAAACTCAATGAACTAATGTGGATACAATCCCGGACCATCACTCAACGGGATCGCGGAGTAAGAAGGATTCCGGACCATCACTCAACGGAACCCAAACCAAGATACGATTCCTGACCATCACTCAACGGAATCGCAGAGTGGAGTAGGAAGGATTCCGGACCATCACTCAATGGAACCCAAACCAAGATACGATTCCTAACCATCACTCAATGAAATTGCAGAGTGGAGTAGGAAGGATTCCGGACCATCACTCAACGGAATCCAAACCAGGATACGATTCCGGACCATCACTCAACGGAATCGCGGAGTACATTGCATAACCACTAACGGAATCGTGGATTCCTGACCATTAAGGTACTCCAGTTATAAAGGCTCAACGAAACAAGATATGAAATAATGAAACGAGCATTGACACATGTTTCAAAACAACAAACCCCATGACAATGGGTTAACGGTCCACCACTAGCCCTCACCACATCATATCAAGCCAATCATACAAAACAAACCATATTTCCAATATGCACGTCAAATCCCACTTCATATAACTATATCATTGGCTAAATATGAAAATTAACAATTTATAGGAAAAATGATTATAAAACCATTTCATATTCACATATCTTAAAGTCACTCACATTTCATCATAACATACCATCTATGTAAATCAAACACCTTTCGAATATGCACGTCAATTCACATATCACGATCATCATTAGTACACAAGACAAATCATGTTTGATAAACATAGGTCTATGGCTAAATATATATAATAATATATATATATATATATATATATATAATCACATTTCAATAGAATCACATTATAAGACCAAGTCAAATTCACAGATGATACCAATATAAGAACTCAAGGTAATAACCATTCCACATATGTTCAAGTCACTCTCTAACCAATATAGGCCCATTAGACTTCACTTAAGTCTCCCCTAGTACTAATTTTATTATTTAGAATGTTCCGAGACATGTTGACCACAATTCAACTCTCGGTCAACGATGGGGTCCACAACAATCCGCAAATCAGATTTATGATCCATAACTTCCCAAAGTCCACATTATGCTTCGAGGATAACATACTAAAGTTTCATTATGATCCAATGGTCGAATTGTCGTCAGTCACACAAACAAGTGGCGGTCCAAATTGATCACCACACCCAACAATTGAATCTTTGGCAACCAAGCTAGACATAGGTTCACATGATCACTAGAAGGTATTTAAAACCTAGACAACACTCGTGAACGATCCCACGCACCTCAACACGCGGTGGAAGTCAAGGTGGAGGGTTTACAAACCCCGAATTTCAACATTAACTAGATGAGCTCAAATTTACGTGGTAGCTAGAGCTCAACAAGGGAAACACTTTTCACAACTAGGCCGACGATAAATTCTAACCGGAAACCGTCCAATTTCACCGGAGAAACCGGATTTCTAGGTGTTCTAAACACTCAACTCTGAAATGAATACGAAAGCACAAACTAAGCATACCCACTTGAAGATTATGAAGAGTAGATGAAATTTCATACCTCACTCGAAGGAAATCGTTGCCGGAATCACCGGAAAAGTCGTGGACTTTGCGACCTCGAGCTGCAAAGATGGAAAAGAAATGGGGAAATCTAAAATCACAGAAATGTAGGGCTCGTCAAGAGCTTTCCATGGACACCAAGATCATCCAAAACGGAGCTCGGACGAAAAAGATACAAGCGGGTCAAGTTTGGTGGTTTTATGGGTCAATTACCCCCTAAAACGGGTTAGGCAGCACCCCATTTCCATTTTCTGAAAAACCCTCCCATTTCTGGAGGTTTCCCCCCAATTTATAGCATTTTGGTAATATTACCAAAATGCCACCAACTTCAAACAACTCTAACTTCTCCGTTTAGACTCCGAAATAAGATCTATTTGCGCCTATGCGCTCATGGAATCGAACTCTACCTAACCAATTCAAGATTTGACCCAAAAGGTCGAGAAAATTGGAAATGACTAAAGTACCCCTCACTTCGTTTTCTTAAATTTGGAGAAATAAAGAACTAGTTCCAATCAAATCTTCGAAATACGTCAAGAATAAAATAAAATAATAATTTTGGGGACGGGATATCACATATATGTTATTTGCTCATCATAAATTTAAATATAGGTAGATTAATTAGTTTAATATGTTTGATCATATATGTAGTACTGTGCATGTATATGTATATATATATATATGTGAACATATAGTACTATTATATATATAGGTAAACTATATATCTAATACTACTATACGTTCATATAGGTAAACTATATATGTGCACATATATATATATATATATTAAGCTTATGGTAGTAATATATACATTTGAAGTATATATGTGTGTGTTAGGGGTAATAATATGTGCAATAATTATATTTTTTTATTGTAATTAAGGTGAGTAATAACATTTATTGATTTTATTTTGAATATTGTGGTGCAAATTGTAAATATTTTGTAATAATAGGTCAATTACTACTATACTTGGCATTCATTTTTAAATTTGGGTTTTGTTTAGATGTTTATAACTAGGTGGGTTTTTGTCTAGGAAATAAGAGTTACAAGGTCTATATCTATATCTAAAGAACCCAAATAATAATTACAACTTACAAGATTACTTAATCAATATATTAATACATTTAGTAAGCAATCAGTAGTGCTTGGCAAACCTTTGTTCTGCAATAATGCATTTTGTGAAAGGTCTGCTGAATGATTTAGTTCTTCAGCCCCTCCTTCTCCAGCTCTGCTCTTCCTTGGACACCATAAAATTTGTTCAACCAGTCCGAGACGGTGATTTCTTGGTGTCCAAGAATGAGACCTTTGTCCTGGGATTCTTTCATCCCAAAATATCGACCAACCGCTATGTCGGAATTTGGTACAAGTTTTCGGAAGACATGGTTGTGTGGGTGGCTAACAGAGATAATCCCATCAACAGTAGCTCAGGAGTTATTTCAATAGGTTCTGATGGAAACCTAGTGCTGCAAGTCAATACTATCCAAGGACTTCTTACTCTGTGGTCAACAAATGTTTCGATATCATCAGTGAGCAACGATAATATTTTTGCGCAAATTCTTGATTCAGGGAACCTTGTTTTGGCTCAACAAGGCAGCCAGGATGTTTTTTGGCAGAGCACTGATCACCCTACAAATATTCTTCTTCAGAATATAAAAATGGGGTTGGACAGAAGAAGACCTGGTTTGGTACTGAGGTGATTCTGAAAAACGTTGGTATCTAAAAAAGTTGAGAGCTGTTTTTGTGTTCGGTAAACATTTAGCTTTAGTTTTTTTTTTTTCACAGTTTTGGGTGAAACAAAGCCAAAAACAAGAAGTTGCAAAACCCAACTTTGAAAAACCTGTTTTTTTTTCACATTTGTTTTACATAAAAGTTTACCAAACACTATAATATTGCTTTTTTTTTTTTCAAAAAAGTTTACCAAACACTCTGTTGCTTTATTTCACAGCTGATTATTCTCACAGTACAGCAGAAGCAACTTTTTTTTCAAAGCACAGCAATATCAAATAAGCCCGCAGTGGTATACACCGGTTCTTCACGAGTTGGAACTCGGAAAATGATCCTGGGACGGGGAATGTTTCGTTGAGAATTGACCCGAATGGATCGCCTTAGATGATCTTGTACAACATTGAGGCTAAATTGTGGAGGTCAGGACAGTGGAACGGGATTAAATGGAGCGGGACACCTGCCGCGCAGCCGAATGATGTGTTTAAGATCAATTTTGTGAACAACAAAGATGAAATTACTTATCAGTGGACTGTTCTCGACCCTTCAGTTCACTCAGTGTACACAATAGATGGTTCGGGAACATTCAAGCTCCTAGTATGGCAGGGGCAGAAACACCAGTGGCATTTGCTTTGGTTGGCGCCATTGGATGCCTGTGACAGCTATGGCAAATGGGGTAAATTCAGCAATTGCAATCCTACTATCAATGGATTCAACTGCACATGCTACCCCGGATATGAACCGATATCACCACAGGATTGGGATTTGAAAGATGGGAGATGCGGGTGCAAGAGGCAGCAAGGCTCGCGGTCCATGTGCAGGAATGGCGAGGGGTTTGTGAAGATGGAAAATGTAAAGGTTCCAGACACGTCCTCCATAAAATTGGAGAAGAATTTGAGCTTGGAAGCATGCAAGGACGAGTGCTTGAAGAACTGCACGTGCTTGGCGTATGCGATTGAAGATGCGACGAATGAAGGGACTAGATGCATGACATGGTATAGAGATTTGATGGATACTAAGCAGTTAACAGAAGGCGGGCAAGATTTGTACGTTCGTGCAGATGCAGTAGTTTTAGGTACCTTATTTTCCAAGAAATTGCCTCAACTACATGTTTCAACTTCATACCATTCATGGCAATGGTGCATATATTTTTCTTCTATTTTTCAACTCAGTATAAAAACAAGTCAGGAGGAGGGTATTTTTCCAAGAAAAGGCGACTGGCTATTATATTGGTAGTGTCAATTTCTGTCGCTTCATTGCTCATCCTCGCAGTTCTATGTTGGTTCAGGAAAAGGAGCATGAAAGGTATACGAAAAGTTTCCTCTTCTTTTGTCTTAAATTTGTTTTGCAGCTTTATTTCGGCTCAAGTTTTCATTTTCTTTCGTCTTGGAAATTTTTATACCCTGAAATTTCAATGGAACTGAAACAGGGAGAGGAGGACAGCCCAAATTTCTGAATGATCCCGTTGCTCCTGGTGTACGAAGCTACGAAGATTTGCCAATAAAAGATGAGGTTGATGAACACAGAGGAGAAATCGATTTACCTCTTTTCGATTTAACCACCGTGGTTGCAGCCACAAAAAACTTCTCTTCTGCTAACATGCTTCGACATGGTCGCTTCGGCATGGTATATAAGGTACTTCCCCTAGAAAATTTTGACTTTTTGAGTATCTCAGCATTATGTGGCTTCGACATCTGTGTTGTCATTAAGATTTTCCAGTCTGCACCATGATTTCAGGGATGTCTAGCTCATGGACAGGAAATAGCTGTTAAAAGATTATCGAGAAATTCACGACAAGGCATAGACGAATTCAAGAACGAAGTAATGCTCATAGCAAAGCTTCAGCATAGAAATCTTGTGAGGCTTTTGGGTTTCTGCATACATAAAGAAGAGAGGATGCTAATCTATGAATACATGCCAAATCGTAGCTTGGACTTATGGATTTTTCGCGTGCCATCTTTACACATTGCTAATAAATACTTTCAGTTTCTGACATTAACCCTGAAATTAAGAAATCATAAACTTGTAGATAATAGAAGCTTTTATGTGTGGTGTTCAGGTAAAAACGGAAATTCGTTGTTAGATTGGAGAAAAAGGTTTCAAATTATCATTGGCGTTGCTCGAGGCCTCCTATATCTTCATCAAGATTCAAGACTAAAAATAATCCACAGGGATTTGAAAGCGAGCAATGTTTTATTGGATGGTTCAATGAACCCAAAAATATCAGATTTTGGCATAGCAAGAATGTTCGGGGATGACCAAAATGAAGCAAACACGAACAAAGTTGTTGGCACCTAGTAATTGTCTCCTCTCCCTCAAAAAAAAAAAAATTTAAGTAGAATTGATATATATATATATATATATTATACTAATATTGTGTGATTGCAGCGATTACATGTCACCCGAGTACGCTATGGATGGGTTATATTCCACAAAATCCGATGTGTTTAGCTTTGGAGTCTTGGTACTAAAGATCATTAGTTGAAGGAAGAACATCTTCCAATTCGAAAACTCATCTATGAATTTGGTTGGAATAGTAAGTAAACAAATAATTTTTCAAACGACGAATCTAACTTTCGAGTAGTCCAATGATCTAAACATTGTGCTCAAAATTGTTTCAGATATGGGACTTGTGGATAGAAGGAAAAGTCTTGAACATAATTGATTCATCATTGAATCAGTCGTATTCGACTCCTGAAGTTATGAGATACATTCAGATTGGACTTTTGTGTGTGGAAGAATACCCAACAGACCGGCCAACCATGCTAGATGTTGTATTCATGTTGGGGAACGAAACGACTCTTCCACATCCGAAAAAGGCAGCGTTTAGCTTGAAAAACAGTGGTCCGGATTCTTCAACGCCTAAAGGAGTTTCTTCTGTAAATGATGTAACAGTAACAATTATTGAAGCTTGTTAAGTCGCCAGGCTCCTGTAGAGATTTTGCATTACTTCTCAAGTATTTGAACTCAAATCGAGATTCCTTGTGGAGAGAAAAGGCAATGCCTTTGAAATTGTCGAATCATCTCTGGGCGAATCGTACCCTATAAACGAAGTTGTGAGATGCATCTAAATTGCCCTCTTATGTGTGCAAGAGTATCTTGGATATTAGTCTTTAATCCAACGGCTAATAAGTCACTATAATTAATAAGGATTGTTATGGAGTGTAAGTAGGATTAGGGTTTAGTTATAAGCTATAACTTGGGCTCCATGTAAAGAAAATATTCTAGTTATTCTTGGAGAATAAGAGCTCCTGATATTATCCTATTTTGATTCGGATTTGGTAGATTATTTCCTCGTACAATAACAAGTCCTACTGACATCATTATGGGAGGATGAATTAGGCTTTTTTTTTTTTTTTTTTTTTTTTGAACAAACGATATTATCTACACTAAGAAGATGAGAGAGTGGGCTAAGCCTCATAATAGGGTTCAAATTCGCCGTTGGCGAGAATCGAACCTAAACCTCTCACTTATTAGTGAAGAAGAATATCACTAAACTGTAGTACTAAGTGGCAGGAGGATGCATTAGGATTGAGTTAGTATAAATACTAAACATGAGTCCCTGCACATACCATTGAATCACAACCCAAAAGTGTAACAACCCGTCCCGGGATTTACGTAAGAAAATGGGTATTTTTATATTTTCACTAAGTTTGGGGGATACTTTCCTTTTTAAAATTGTTTTTGAGCCTTAATTGGTGAGCCCAAGGGGCCCACCCCCTGTTTTTGTTCCCCGGTTCCTTCCCTTTCCCTTTTTTTTTTTTTTTTTTCTGAAAAGTCTCTCTCTTCTCCCTCACTCTCTCTTCTCTACCCATGCTCTCTCCTTTCCCCCTTCTCGGTGCTATTTTCTCCGACAAGAACACACACACACACACCCATGCCCACGCCTATAGCTCTTTTCTAACCCCGTGGTTGTATTTTGGACGTCAAACCATGAAGAAAACACCTCAGAGACATTTCCCAATTTTCCGGCGAGCACCGCCCATTTCGAGGCAATTTCCGGCCAAACCACGGCGAGTTGGCCGGTGTGCAAGGTATCAATCTCTTCGTCTCGCTGAGTACTACAACTTTCCTTTTTGTTTCACCCAATTTCATTGAGTATTGAAGAAGTTATACTCATTTGAATCTTACCCAGTTTCCGGCGGACACCCGTGGCTTCCAGGCTGTTTTCCAGCCAACTCCGACCACGATGACGGGAACCAAGGGTATATTTCGATTCCTTACCTTCGGGGCTTCAATTTCGTATATTAAATGACATGTTTTGGTTGAGTTTTGAGCTCCAACGGAGCTTGGGAATTCTCCGACTGAAGTGCGGCCTTCCTCCTCCTTGGAATCCGGCGACCACCAAACCCAAAGGCCTTAGGGCCCTGGTTGCAAGCCCAAACCCATTACCCTTTTAATTGGGCCATTGGGCCATGAGGTTTCAAACCCAAACCCACTTTCCTTCTAACCCAAACCCAACCCACCTAAAACCTAAACCCAATTACCCTAACCCAAAACCCTAAAGCCCAAACCTGTGACCCGTGACCCGTTGACCGTTACCCGTTGACTTTGACTTTGACTAAATGTACCCTTTATGTGCTTAGGGGTGATTACCTGTGGCGTTTCCTTCTTCGCCAGAAGGCGTGGCTTTTCGACGGCGAAGTACTGTGAGTGGACCCCTTCTAAAAATGCATGTTTTGATAGTATAAATGCATACATGAAAAGCATGATTTGATGATTATGTTTTATGAACGTTTTATGAGATAACATGCTTACTGAGGCTAGTTTGAATTATTACTATTTTTCCTATAACCCATGTTCTTATAGAATATCTGATGGATGACGATATGATATTTAGAACATGTTTAGAACACCTCTTTATAGTATAGATGATGGATGACTTTATACTATGAAGTTGATTTTCAATATATATATGTTCACTGGTTTTGTACTTACCTAGTGGTCCTTTCCGCTACGGGACGTAGGGATAGATCCGGTCTGTCCCGGGCGATGATTTGGTGTTGGCATAGGGCCTAGAGTGTGTTTTCCTCTGACTGTCTGCTCAGAGATGGGGAGCCGGCAAGGGGCCTGAAGTGTATTTTTCCTCTGACTGTCTGCTCATAGACGGGGAGCCGGCATGGGGCCTGAAGTGTTATATCGGATATTCACTAGTGATTATTATGTTATGCGAATTATGATTTGAGGCATTGCACGACATGCTAGGTTTCGGAAAACCTATGTTTATCATTATATATGTGTTTTCATAAAACCTGGGGGTTAGTATGTTGATAACTGTTTTATTATATATATATCAACTTGGTCCACTCATGTTTGTTTTGCGCCTCTTTCAGGACTTAGAATCGAGGCATACAATCCTGACGTCCAGGCACTTCCGCATCGGCATCTTCGAGTGCTCTCGGTGTAGGACCCACTCCTTTATTTCATTCAATTTTATATTATTTTCTTTTAGTGTTCTAGATTAGAGGTGTGCTCTGAACACGGTCCTTATTTGCATATTAATTATTCTTTTATATTTATAGGCCTTATTTATCCCTTGTTTTCAGCATTTGCACTCAATAAATGGCTTTCGTCACCCTCGGGTGTCGGCCAGCACGTGCCTATCCTGGTATTCGGAGAATATCGGGGTCGGGGCGTGTCAAAAAGAATTCCCCATCGGTTTGAGTTATACAATGGTGGTGAGTGTGCAGAAGGCCTTGCTTGTGTTCTTAATGTGCTCGTGTGCTTACTGCAATTTGTGGCTTGCTGTGGTATTGAGAATGGCTTCTCAAGGTTAGTGTTTTCATGGGGTTTTGATTCACATGAACATATTAGGTTTAATAGAGTATGCCACTGAGTTGCCAACAATGTCGTTGGTTGTTTTCATGCTAGGTAATGAAGCAGCAGCTCCTTTACTAGAACAACTAACATTTTTATTGGAGTTATATATAATAGTGGAGACGCATCACCACAGTACTAAAGGATAAAATTCTGTAAATGATGTGACATGTAATAGTGTGGAACGTCGCTAAAACTCTTAATATATTCCTAAATGTTGTATGTTAAACAACTATTGGTAGCTTGTAAAGGTTATTAACCACAAAAATTTTGCTTCAAATAAGTAGGTTCTAATTTTCTTTCTAGTGCATTGACATGCGGGGCATGTCAGAATTATGTCTCAATTACAACGTAATTGAAGAGAAATTATACTAGTCTAATTAGCTAATTCTATAAATTATGTGACATGTACTATGGTAGGGGCTTAGCTGACAGAAAATTTGGCGCAAAATCGAGCACAATGATGTTCTAGAATTCATACAACTGACTTCACTTAACAAGATAAGACTTTATTGTTGTTGTTGTTTGTACTATAGTGGATGCTTGATCGCTAACAGCCTTGGATTTGAAAGAAAATGATCCTCGCAAGATCCTTTTCCTAGGGATCCCGTGATCTCACCAGTTCATCATACATTGTGCGGTCAGAAATCATTTCAAAATTTAAAATTTAAAATTTAAATTTAATATGAATAGTACCTAACGAAAATTGACAGTATGATAGACGATGAACGGATGAGATCACAGGATCCCTAGAATCCCTAGGAAAATGATCCTCGCCATATCCTTTTCCAAATTTAAAATGTAAAACCGTCCACTACATATGACACATTCACATTTATCAAAGTTTAAGAATGAGAGATTTGTGTTAGTCAAACTTCATGTACAGGAGAGAAGATGTTGATCTGTGATGCTTTGCTTGCCAAATAAATAAAAGAAAAACTAATGAAAATGATTTGAAAATTTTGAGTTTTAACGAAAAAGACAAAAAAATGTTGTAAGTAAATATTACCAGGAGTGACTTTTTAGAGTAAAAAATGTCAATTTTCGTTAAAGTAAATAGTACCAAAAGTGTTTCGTTAAAACTCCCATAAATAAATTCCAAGACTTTTCAAATTGGTTTACCTTTATTTCATTTTATTACAGATCGCTTTTATCATAGTGTCCATACTAATCACACCTAGCATATTTTACCATCTACTAGCACATTACGTGGTATTGAATTTTATGACAAAAATGAAAGGTAAAATCATTCATTATATTCATTTATCAAATTTCCGACATATATTTTTGCATTCTTCAACAGCGTGAACATCTCTCTCCCTAGCCACTATGGGTCGTACTCGGCCCCATTCGGAGCCAATTCTTATCAATCTACTGAATACAACTGGTGTGGTCAGAATTGATGAAGTGGAGCTTTCTAGCTAGGATCAGTTTGAGGGAATTGTTATGCCTCGTCCATATGTTTGCCTGGAAGTCGCGTGTAAGTTCACGTTGCATCAACGACTGGAAGTCGAGCGTATGCCCTTAAATTAGCGTTACTGAAAGTCAATCAAAGAAAAAGAAAATCCAACCTTTCCGGCTTTTTGTTTCTGCATGTCAAAAGAAGCAGCCATTTTAGCACTTAAACTCCTCCATGAGAAAGCTAACAATGAATTCTACTGAATTCTTTTTTGTCAGTACTGTATTGCTCATCTTCGTGATTCTTCCCTTTTCCATTTCGGTTACCCTAGACGCCATTACCCCAAACCAACCCCTAAGAGAGGATGACGTTCTTCTCTCCCCCACTAAAATCTTTGCACTAGGGTTTTTTAAGCCAGGCAATTCTCGTAACCGTTACATCGGAGTTTGGTACAACAAAATTCCAATCAAAACCATTGTCTGGATTGCAAACAGAGAAAACCCCATAGTTCCTACTGCTGGAACTGGACTTCTAGCCATTCATGGAGATCATGGTGGCCTTGTTATTTATGGGGAGGACCAAAATAACCCTATCTGGTCCGCTAATCTCACCGTCTCTTCTCCAATCAATTCCGTGATAGCCAAGCTTTTGGATACGGGAAATCTTGTGGTTGAAATTAACGGTGAAAAGGTGTGGGAAGGTTTTGATTATCCCACAAATACGATGCTTCCTTCTATGAAACTTGGGCTGGACAGGCGGTCCGGGTTGAACTGGTTCCTCACAGCTTGGAAGTCCCAAGATGACCCGGGAATGGGCAACTGTTCGTACCGGATAGAGCCAACTGAGAGTCCACAGGGGTTCTTATACATGGGTCAGACTCCATTGTGGCGGAGTGGACCTTGGACCGGTGAAAGATGGTCCGGGGTGCCTCAAATGGAAAATAAGATCTTCTTCAACATTACTTTTGTGAACGATCAAGATGAGCTATCCATCATGTCTAGTATTGTTTATGAATCAATCTTCGAAAAGATGGTTATCGATGAATCAGGAAACGTTGAACGGTCCGCATGGCAAGATGAAGTGCATAAATGGGCCAAGCATTGGTCCGCGCCGGATGGGCAGTGTGATTTTTACGGGAAGTGTGGTCCTAATAGCATTTGTGACCCATACCCAAAATTTGCGGATAAATTTGAGTGCAATTGCTTACCTGGATTCGAACCCAAGTTGCAACATGAGTGGTATTTGAGAGATTGGTCAGGCGGGTGCGTGAGGCAAGAAGGTTCATCCGTTTGCCAAAACGGGGAAGGGTTCGTGAAGTTGGAACGTCTGAAGTTGCCGAACACTTCTACGGCACGTGTGAACATGAGTATGAGTCGGGAAGCATGTAAAGAAGAATGCCTGAGAAATTGTTCTTGCACGGCATACACAAATGCAGATGAAAGGCAGGGAGGGAGTGGCTGTATAACATGGCATGGGGACTTGATGGACACAAGGACTTTTTTGGATACGGGTCAAGATTTATATGTGCGAGTTCATGCAAATGTTTCCGGTATATTTCCATTATCAATTTATCTTCTTTCTTCTCTTTTCCTAATCAATAATTCCCCTTACAACACCGAGATTCCATTAAAAAAAAAAAAAAAATCCTCTTTCTTTATTTCATTAAAAATTTTGAGGAATTATTATTTAGTTTGGTAGTTGCACGTTTGTTATCATTCTAAAAAAATCATTTGGCACTGGTCTCTTGCCAAATAATAAAAGTGAAATTGTTTCGTCGAGAGTGTAAGATGACTATTTTGGAGTACTAATTTTTTTTATAAAAAATTCAGAAATTTCTATAAATTAATACTAAAAATTTAGTTCTTATGTTCATTGGAGCTTTTTACAAGGATTTTTAAACATGGAAATAAATGCTCGTATGTATATCTGCAGCTCAACATGAAAAGAAGTCAAACAGTTCTTTTGGCAAGAAGATGAAGCTGGGAGTTTCAGTAGCATGTGGTCTATTGTTCTTCCTCTTGTTTTCCCTTGCATGTTGGTTGGTAAAGAGGAAGAGAAAAGGTAAACAAAATTCCTTTTCATAGGTTGCCCTCTAATCATTCACAATTATGTAACTGGATATTGGTTTTAATTATTTAAGAACACAATATTATCTGTTTATGTACTTTTATCACAGGTAAGAGAAGTCAGGATAAATTTTTAGCATCAACCTCCTGGGAAGATTCTTCTGCTACAACAAATATTGATGAAAGTGGAATAAACTCTGAATTACCATTCTTTGAACTAAGTACCATAGTTAAGGCCACAAATAATTTCGCTTCCAATAACCAGCTTGGAACAGGTGGTTTCGGCTCTGTTTATAAGGTACGTAGTTGCCCTCAAATAATGTCTCAAGTCATAAATCAGACTTGGAATAGACATTTTTAAGATTTATTTTTTAGTCATCTGCGCTCCAAATCAATTATTTTATTATTTTTTCCTCTACCCACCCTTGTAGTTTAACAGAAGAACATAATGAATAAATCTTGCAGAGAAAGAAAGAGAATCAAGAAGAGAGAGAGGGAGCAAGATTTAGAGAGAGAGAGAGATTTTAGACAGAAAAAAGTGAATCTTTGTTAATGGTTTCAGAAAAAATACAAGGTAGTGTTCCCTAAGGATATATATCCAAACCAAATTGCTTACAAGCTAAGCTAACATTTAGCTCACAGGTTATTGACACTTGCAAACAATAGGATTACAAGACCATTATAGTTACCAAAAATCAAGAGACCCGTCCAATAAAGACTAGAAAGGCTGACTCAAAAATATATTTCATTAAAATTCAAAACCAATCAACAATCGATAAGTGATGGGAACTATCTTGTTTCTACTTTTCACAATTATCCCACACAGTGCTGCGGGTTTTGAAACTGTATAAAACACGTAGAAAGTTTTAAATCTATATGATATCATATATATATATGTGGAAATCTATTCACAAACCTATTGTTAAGCTATAATACTTATATATAAGTGATGGTTGCATGGTATTAATCTTCTACACAAAAAAAGTAAGTGTTTCCCACCTAGGAAATTGTTAAGCACCTATCAAACTAATTGATTGGAAACAGTCTGGTGCTTCCCAATCTAAAGAGTCAATGAAAGTAAAGCAGCAGATTAGTGAATAGATTAGCGAATTGTTAATTATGATTTGTTTTGGGTCCAAAGAAATCTTGTTAGGTGATGGTGAATCAATATGAAAGTAAACAATGCTGATTTCAAAATGGATACTGAAGAGCTATTCATTGAATGAAGTAACTATTAAATCTGTTAAATTACAGCAGTTTTAGTGAGACGTAAACAAAACAATTCTCTTCTCTATGCATGAGAGTATGACAAAGTTTAAAAATTCGAACATTGTGATATAATAGCTTGTAAGAACGATGTTCAAAACATGAAAACTGACGACTAATTAAAGATATTTTACTTGTAGTTTTCTGAAAACAAATTCAATAAAAAAACATAAAATTAATAACCACGTAGAAATTAATCGAAGATTTATACAAAACTCAGAAAAATTTACTAAAATTCATATAAAATTACATAAAAAATCTCATAAATTAAATAATGATTCAGATAATCACATCAAAAGAAAATTTAAATGAACAACACTCCAAAAACAAAAAAATTGAAACGAAGAATTCTACAAAAACATGAAAAACTTAATAAAACCCAATTTAAACGAAGAACTCCATCTGAAGCAAATTTCACATGCAATAGTTCTAGAAGATGAGACCATCGACTCAACCCCATTCGAACGCAATCACAAAATCAAAAACGACAAAATGGGCAAACAAAAAAAAAATGAGGAAGTACCTACCTTGAGCTTGAAGGAGAGAGAAGGAAGAACGACAGTGCCCGTCTTCTGCAGAATTTTGCCGATGTTGTTTCCGGCCGTCGCCGCCAGCGCTAGGAAGATCGACTCTCACATCCCAAGAACCCTAATTTATAAACTCCCAATCAAACGCAAAAAGGATAGAGGAAACCCAAATAAAGGGAAATTCGAGAAATTCAACATACCGTAAGACGCTTTCTGACGGCCAAATTCATCGACAACGGAGGCGGTTGTCGACCGTCACTGTACCACCATTTCGCGCCCGCCATGTTTGTGGCTTTCAACCATCACTACTTGGTTTGTGGGCTTCACATCGATAGATACGGGGAGCGGAGAGAAAAGAAGAGCAGAGGAAGATGAAAGATTGTGGGTTTTCCAATAGAGAAGGAGAGAGAGGAGGGATGAGGGATGACAGGAGAACGCACGCGTAGGAGAGAAAAAGGATGAGAGGTGAGAGGAGAAAATTGTGGGCATTTCGGTCAACAAACAAAATAGTGGCAGAGTTGTAAATAGAATGAAATCCGGTGAAAAACACTGTTCATTTGAACAGTTCAATTGAAAACTTTACTTTAGACTATGTGATCTTTTGTTATTTCAATCGCGTATCTCATACACTTGAAGTAGTCAAAGCATTTTTATGTATATGCATAGAGTTTTACTCCTTTGTTAATCTATAAATTCAATTTCAAGGGGAGGATATATACAGAGCTAGGAATATGTTGGTAAGTTTCTTGAAAGATGAGTGCACTATAAGTTGAATTTGGATTATAAATTCAGGGTGCGCTTGATAATGGAAAGGAGATAGCAGTGAAAAGACTAGCCAAGAATTCTGGCCAAGGAATTGGAGAATTTAAGAATGAAGTTGTGCTGCTTTCAAAGCTTCAACACAGAAACCTTGTGAGGATCATAGGTTGCTGCGTTCAAGATGAAGAGAAGATGCTGATCTATGAATACTTGCCAAACAAAAGTCTTGACTTTTTCATTTTCGGTATGTCTTTCTTTTAATTTTGTTCTTCTTTTTATACAAGCAATATTGTGGAGGGGAAATCGAGCTCAGGACCTCAGGTGCAGGATTGAATGCTCTTAACTCAACTCAGTTACAAGCACCTTTCTTTTCACTTGTGTATCTAAAATTGTCGATTAAAAACCTTGAAACAAGCAAGAATACAATCTAATTTACTTTGCTTACTTTTTTCCCTTACAAAGCAAAAGAGGTGTTCTTGGATTGGACAAGACGCTTTGAGATAATCTGTGGGATTGCTAGAGGGATCTTATATCTTCATCAGGATTCGAGATTAAGAATCATCCATAGAGATCTAAAGGCCAGCAATGTTCTGTTGGATTCTGCTATGAACCCCAAGATTTCAGATTTTGGTATGGCTAGGATATTTGGAGCTGAACAAATTGAAGCAAATACAAACCGTGTGGTTGGGACATAGTAAGTTTCATTCAAAACTGAAAGTACACCTGTTTTTGTTGAATAATACAGAAAGAAGCTGTGATAATTAATCAATTTTATTTTGTTGCTTCAGCGGTTATATGTCACCAGAGTACGCAATGGAAGGACTTTTTTCAGTAAAGTCTGACGTATATAGCTTCGGCGTTTTACTACTAGAAATTGTTACTGGCAGAAAGAACATTGGCTACTACCACGATAGTCCTTACTCAAATTTAGTTGGACATGTAAGCATAACATTAAGACATTACCAAACTTCTCTTCGTCTGCTTTTATAACTTGATGATTAATTTGTAAATGGTTTTTAGGTTTGGGACTTGTGGAAGGAAAATAGAGCCTTGGAAATCATTGATTCATCTCTGGGAGAATCATACCCTGTCAATGAAGTTCTAAGATGTATTCACATTGCCCTCTTGTGCGTGCAAGAGCAAGCGAAGGATCGTCCACTCATGTCAGCAGTGGTTTTCATGTTGGGTAATGATACAGCAATTCCTTCACCAAAGCAACCTGGATTTTTGTTAAAGAGAGGTTATCATACTAGTGGAGACCCATCATCCAATACTGATGGAGCTTACTCTATAAATGACATGACCTATACAGAAGCAGAAGGTCGCTAAGGAGAGAACTAGACGTATAATCGGATAATACTATATTATTCAATTGAGAATCACATGATGAGTGAGATAAGAAGAGAGGATATACCCCGATTTCCCTCAATAATTTACCTTATAACTAGGGACCTAAGTTCTATATTAATTTGCAACATCATTTGTCTTGTTGTAAATACACGTTATAAAATATATGCCCTATAATTGGTGGTCTAAGTTCTATATCTGCTATACTCATTATATGTCTTGTTGTAAATACAAGCTACAAATTATTTGCAACATTCATAATCAGTTCAAGCAGGCTACATAAAAGTACTTTTCGACCGCCAAAAACATGTAGGAAGGTTGACAACTTTATGACACAAAGTTTTAGGAGCAAGCCTACTCAGACACTAATCATGCCACATGTTAACCCGCAATCAAAAGAAAAAGTCTAGGACGGGACACAAAGGTGGTCCGACCTGTTCTAAGTGATGTGGTTAATTAATCAAGGCCGAGCGAGACGCTGGGAACACATTGGACCTTTGGATGTTACTAGAAATGTTGCCCGAGCGTTACTACGGGAATACAAATTGTACGAAACATTATGTATGAATGATATAAAAGATTATGTCATAAACAAAATTGTGAGATGCATACAATTGCCTTCTTTTGTGCTCAAGAATATGCTACTGACCGGCCAACCATGTCGTCGGTTGTTTTCCAAAACAACCTGCATTTTTATTGAGGATGAATTGTACTAGTGGAGATCAATCATCAAGTACTGAAGGTGATTGAGCAATGTGCATGTCTACGGTCAATCTCAGGCGTGTATATAAAAGGTGGAGATGGAGCAATGTGCATGTCTATGTACATAAATCAATTCTCTGAAAAGAAGTACTAGCCATAAATTATTGGAATGAAACAATAAACGGTGTATAAATGGCCATGTGTCTACGTACAGAAATCAATTCTCTGAAATGAAGTTCAAGTAGCCATAAATTATTAATTAGAATGAAACAATAAACGGTGTATAAATGGTCGTGTGTCTATGTACAAAAATCAACTAGTCATAAATTATTGGAATGAAACAATAAACAGTGTCTAAATGGACATGTGCAACTAGTTTAGAAAAATCAAACAGCTTCGTTTTAAGATCATCCATTGGCTAATTAACAAGTTTAGAATTCTCATAAAGTAAATAAAACTATGAGTTCTACTGTGGCAGCTAATGAAGTCAGTATTATGTTGCTTTATCTTTCATGTACTTCTCTCATCTTGCATTTTTACCCTAGACACAATTATCCAAAACCAACCCATAAGACGGCGAGGTATTAGTCTCTAGCCGAAAACTCTTCGCAATCGGGTTCTTCAGCCCCATAAGTTCTTCAAATTGCTATGTTGGAGTTTGGCATAACAAAATTCCAGAGCAAACCATCGTTTGGGTTTCAAACTGGGACAACCATATTAGCCATTAACAGAGATCATAAAGGCCTTGCCATCTATGTAAATGATCAAAATACCCCTTCTCTGTCAAGATTTTAGATTGATGCGTTCGAGATGAAGAAAAGATGCTATAATCTATGAATACGTTCCGAACAAAAGTTTGGACTACTCTTTCATTTTTGGCACTGTCTTATTTTTGCTTTTAATTTCTTTACTTGTCACTTGAAACTAAGGAAGCACGAATTCCTTATTGGCTTTTTACTTTTTGATATTATCACGGGTTGCCAGAGAGAAAGTAGAAAGAGCGGGGAGCCTTTTTTTATCTTTCTTTTCCTTATTGGCTTTTTACTTTTTGAATGATCCCACTGCTTCTGGTGTACAAAGCTACGAAGATTTGCCAATAAAAGATGAGGTTGATGAACACAGAGGAGAAACAGATTTACCTCTTTTCGATTTAACCACCGTGGTTGCAGCCACAGAAAACTTGTCTTCTGCTAACATGCTTGGACATGGCGACTTCGGCATGGTATATAAGGTACTTCCCCTAGAACATTTTGAGTATCTTAGCATTGTATGGCTTCGGCATCTGTGTTGTCATTAAGATTTTCCAGTCTGCACCATGATTTCAAGGATGTCTAGCTGATGGACAGGTAATAGCTGTTAAAAGATTATCGAGAAATTAAGGACAAGGCATAGACGAATTCAAGAACGAAGTAATGCTTATAGCAAAGCTTCAGCATAGAAATCTTGTGAGGCTTTTGGGTTTCTGCATACATAAAGAAGAGAGGATGCTAATCTATGAATACATGCCAAATCGTAGCTTGGACTTATGCATTTTTGGTGTGCCATCTTTACACACTGCTAATAAATACTTTCAGTTTCTGACACTAACCCTGAAATTAAGAAATCATAATGTAACAACCCATCCCAATTTTATCGAAATAAATAGGGTATTTTTGTGAAATTTCACCTTGGGCTAGATCGTCTTCTTTTAAAATTGGTTTTTAGGTCTTAATTGGTGAGCCCAAGGGCCCCACCCCCCATGTTTTGTTCTCCGGTTCCCTTTCCCTTTTCTTTTATTTTTCTGAAAAGTCTCTATATTCTTTCTTCTCCCTCATTCTCCCTTATCTCTCCCTCTCGAGCTCACCTCTCTCTCGGGCTCTTTCCCGATCGACACCTATACATACAAACGCACACACATACGCACCCATACACACTTACATGGATGCACCAAGTGACCATCTCAGCGGAGGAAGGAACGAATACCAACCTTCGAAACTGTAAGCTCGGAGAACAACTCCCTCCTCCGGTGAACCCTTAACCTTGGTAAGCTTCGGGACTCTTTCTAATCTTCCTTAGATCGATCAAACTCTAGTGAGGACTAATTTTAGGTGCTTTGATGAAGGTTTGTTGTGAGAACAACTTAGAGGTGTGTTCCTAGTTTTACCGACGAGTCCGACGGCTTTCAAGCCAATTTCCGGCCAAACCACGATGAGTTAGCCGGCATGCAACGTATCAATCTCTTCGTCTCGCTGAGTACTACAACTTTCCTTTTTGCATGTTTTGATAGTAGAAATGCATACATGAAAAACATAATTTGATGACTATGTTTTATGAAACGTTTTTATGAGATAACATGTTTACTGAGGCTAGTTTGAATTATTAGTATTTTTCCTATAACCCATGTTCTTATAGAATATCCGCTGGATGACGATATGATATTTAGAACATGTTTCGAACACCTCTTTGTAGTATAGATGATGGATGACTTTATACTATGAAGTTGCTTTTCAACATATGTATGTTCACTGGTTTTGTACTTACCTAGTGGTCTTTTTTGTTACGGGACGTAGGGATAGATCCAGTCCATCCTGGGAGACGGTTTAGTGTTGGCATAGGGACTGACGTGTGTGTCCTTTGGCTATTTAGCACAGGGACAGGGAGCCGACATGGGGCCTGAGGGTTATCGAACATTCACTAGTGATTATTATATATACAAGTTATGATTTGAGACATTGCACGACATGCTAGGTTTCAGAAAACCTATGTTTATCATGATATATATGTGTTTTCATAAAACTTGGGGGTTAGTACGTTGACAATTGTTTATTATATATATATATATATATATATATAAACTTGGTCCACTCATATTTGTTTTGCGCCCCCTTCAGGACTTAGAATCGAGTTATACAATCCCGACGTCCAAACATTTCCGCATTGGCATCTTCGAGTCCTCTCAATGTAGGACCCACTCCTTTGTTCCATTA